GCTAGAGTTAATACAGTAGAACCTCGATTATCCGGACTAATTGGGGATGAAGGTAGTCCAGATAAGGAAAAATCCGGATAATCGAAACAAATACTTTTATTTGTCTTTTAATGATAATACAACACGTTTTCTTTTCGATGACATATCGGCAATATTAAAAGTAAATACTGTATTTAAATCGCGATCAAATTTTCAAGAAACAAACGTTCGTATTGAATTTGGACTACTACTGACCAACGCTAACAGATTACCTGTTGTTTAAAAGGCCCTCTGGTGGCGCAAGAAGATGGATTTTATAAAATAAAAAGCAGTTTAAACTGCATTTTTATGAATAAAAATTGACAAACTATTTATCGTTTTATGACGAGTAAAATTTTTTCGTCGCGTTCACGGCTTTTAAGTAATGCATAAACCTTCGAGGTGCGAGGCCCTTCGGACCGCAAGACATAGGCGGTGGCCCGCATCGTCCATGCCTTACACCGCCCTTAATCATAGAAATGATGTAATTTGAATATAAATTATTTATAAATACGTATGTCAAGTTATATTTTTATTACTACATAAAATATATTTAAGAGTTTATGACCACTGTGCTGGGTGAGACGTTGTTGAAACAAAAAAGTTATGCATTCCATCACGTACATAAACAGTGTCGTAATTCGCCAAGTGCAAATCAGCAAATTCGTAAAATTTTTATTTTAAACAATCCGGATAATCGAAAATCCGGATAATGGAGGTTCTACTGTATATAGCCAATATAAGTTAGTCCAATAAATATAGTACCAGATGAAATGATGCTTATGCCTATATGTAATCTAGTGTATTTATTTATTGTATGCTTTAATTTAGTTCATTAAATTGTTATTATTTGTTAAGGTGGACTTACTCAAAGCCAAACCACCCTATTGACTTACCCACAGCGCTCCCCACTTGACACTATTCAGCTCTCCTATTTTCCTCTAACCCTTTTTGGCCATCCAGTGACAATTGAGCAGGCTCAACTAGTCTGACATTACCCTTTGGTGATGAGACAAACCCCCTGCAGGGCAGCTTCTCACACTAACTTCAAATCAGAATAACTTAAATGACACTTTTGAGTTTGTTTCTTCAAACAATAACAGTTTAAGTATATTTTAGAGAATAGCTTTTTTAAATCTTTGACCATTTATAACTAATTTATACAACAGTTGTCAAAAATTGAATACACTAAATTATAAATCTGTATATAAATTTAAACAACTGTTTTAATAAAACTGTAGAATGAATCATTGTTTATGAACAAACATGCCATTCATTATTATTGTGTAACTTTTAATTAATTATTACCAACCTAAAACTACAAATCAATAAATACCAATTAAGTATATTTTAAAATCAATATAGAAGACAAAAATTATGACAACAGTCACTGACTAAAAATCAATATCATTGTCTATTATTCAAAATAAATATCAACCAATTTAAACTAAACCTTGCACCAATATGTAACATAGATCACTAATATATTATTTCATCTAATATTCCTGATTCTTGATACTTATTCTGTATGACAGCTTTAAAAATGAAATTTTCTACATAAAAATATTGTAACATGAAAACTATCTTGACAAATCAACAAGGAAAATAGGTTCCTACTATTAATAAATTGTATTGTTTTTACATAAAATTTTTTGTTAAATTTACTACATTACCAACATTTTCATTGAAACAAAGTAGGATTTTTCTTTGATTATTTACACAATACTGTATTAATAATTAATAAATATTATAAATATATGTTAATTTTTTGTTTTTAAGACAAAATCTTACCTTTTGGAGACCATCTAACACATGTGGCAGCACGATTAATGCGTAGAAGTACTAACATTGGCTTCCATTTGCCACTCACCTGAGTCCAAACATAAGCATTTCGATCCTTAAAGGAAAAAAACCACACACTATACTATTTTGTAAAAATTATAATTTTATAACAGTTCCTTATTTTTCAAAAAGAATTATATCAAACTAAAATTCATATAATTCATTAACTTAGGATAATGCTGTGTATGCTTTGAATATTGCCAAAATCACTAATTATTTTTATAATAAAAAAAAAATGAAAAAATATAAACAATAATTTTAGTGATATTTATTAATTAATTATATTTGACATTAAGTTTCTAAAACTGCATAGTTATTGATAATTTCCACATCTGTTTATGAAAAATGACAAGCTGGAGTTTAGAAGACCAAATGGAATATTTCAGATATTAAACATTTTTATAATTAAAATTTCTAACATCAAAAATTTTGTAAATTTTCTAATTAGTTTTCATGTCAGCAATAAATCATATATGAAAACAATAATAAAAAGAAAAACAGCCAATCTAATTTGTTAATGTAATGTAAATACTATTTAAGCAAGACTATGCTTAAGATCATGTACTCTGTATAACAATAAATTTCTAATTAAGAATGATTTTCATTTATGCAAATCAGCATCAAGAAATATGCACATGATATATTTAGAATGATTTTAATAATATACTCATAGAAAAAATACTACTTAGTAATGGAACAATTGGAATTGGTATCAGAATCAAGAAAAATTTATCATAATTTCCAATACTTAAAATGATTTTTTTTAAAATATTTAATAACACAATTTTTTGTTTCAGGTAATAATTAAAATTGTTTAAATTATAATAATTAACAAGTAACTAGTGTTTCCAGGTTTGGCATTTTTTAAGGTTTTTTTGGCACATGGAAAAAATTTTGCAATTATATTTGGCATAAACTAAACTCTCCATTAATATACTGTCAGCAATAACAATAATTAGAATACAGTTCTGCCCAAACTGCTGTCAAAATTTTATTATTGAAATGCATTTTACTATGCTTGGCTTATTTGTTTCTCTGTATATTTTGATGTTGCATCTACATTGAAAATTCAATCCACTGGTTGAATACACTGATGTAATTGCTGTTGAGTTCCAAATAAAGTTAAATTTTTACAATAAACCTGTTTGGTATACTGTTAAGTCTCTGATGTCTAATGGTATAAGGAGTCAATTCTAACCAGTTATATTTTGTTTGGGGATTACTTTTAGTTTGTTTTCTTATTTATTTTGAAACATTTTATTTCATTACAGATAGATTACCACACCTCACCTGGATAAAATTCTAAATTCTAAACTCACTTTACTATGATGATTGCTGGTGGCAATCTACTACATCATCAAAACCAGAAATGATATTTCAGGAGGGACTTCCACAGGAAGTTAAAAGAATGATCTCTCACCCCAAATTGTCACCAAAGAAGAACGAAAAATATAAAAGATTAAATGTAAGGGTGATAACATGACTTAAAGAAAGATTACTAGAATTAAACGAATGTTAGCCATTTGAGTATGTAAATAGGATCGAGTGGAAATAATCACATAATGTCACCACAATGGCACTATAAGGAAGAGGTTAAGCTCGAGATCAAATGAGGCAATCTAGATCTAGAGAGGTTAAAGCATGTTTTCATGTTCCCTTGATGACAAAGAAGTTTCTTGGTGGCAGTTAGGTGAATTTAATTTGAATTTGTGAATTTGTAATAGACTTCAATTTCATATTTTTGTTTATCAGTTTTGTGGAGATAAAAAATTAAATTATAACTATTTTAGAATTAAGTCCCCAAGTGTCAGGAAAGTTGTATATATTTGTTTTTTGAATTTAATAAAGTATCTTTTTATTATGTATTTCAAATTTTTGCTAACTTTATTTCCTTCTTGGGCATATTTGGGTCTAGAATAATAAACAAATTTTTTTAATCATCATGTATAGTAATTATTTTGGGTTCTTTTTGACTTGTTAACAATTTCATTTTTATTTATTGCTCGCATAAAGTCCAGGCATGGCACTTTCGAACAATCATTTATGTAATGCACTCTTAGGAAACTATCTGGCTATCAATAAGAATTTATAAGGCATTACAATGAATAATTCAACTTATAGTATTTCAGAGTAAAAAATGGCAACAGAATAAATTTTGCATTATTTGGCACATTTATGCAAGCTGTTAGATATTTTTGAATGAAAACGACCTGGCAACCTGTAACTAACTACTTGGCTAGTACTATTGTGCTGCTAGCTTAAACTATATTGTCATTGAAAATACATAAAGACGATTCTCATTTCTTTCAACATTACAGGAGAGTGATTTAAAGGTCTTTCTTATTTTCTTCATAAATAAGAAACTATTGTGTATAAAGCATTGCTTTTTTTTTTCAAGTTTTCATTTACAGTACTTGGTAAATACTATAAACACATAAGTTTATCACTGGCTTCATTACCATTATTATTTTGAGATACGCCTTTATGTCTCACTAATGATAAAAAGCTCTCTGCTGATTTAATGAGTTACCTCTTTTAGAATTAAGACATAACTACAATTTAATATTAAAATTTGGCTCTAAGTAACTAAATCAACTGATTGCTATTAAAATAAAATGTTTTGTATGCAAGAGAGATTATTGTACTGAAGAGTTTTTAATGTCATCTAATAAAATAATGCCAAAAAGAATGAAATTTTTGTCTTGAGAATGAAAAATCTCAATACATTATGAAAACATGAAGTCCCATGCTATAAGACGTGAATATCTTTTCATAATCATTAAATTTTGTTACAATATTTTTAACCAGCAGACTTTCCATGGGTATACATAGAATCAGTTTTCTAATTACATTTTCAATAAAAAAAGAAAAAAAAAATATTACAAAACTGGTCCTCACTTCTATTCCTTAAATTCTATACCATCTTAAAACTATCAATCAAAGTTTGAAGAAAAAAGAATTATGTTTATATTCTTTTTTCTTAAGATTCATTATTAATTTATTTTCACATAAACACTGATGCCTTTTTAATCTTAAATTTTCACTTAATCTATCTTAAAATTACATTTTTTTTTGTTTAATTATATACAATACACATAATTCATACATATGAAAGGAATATATTGAAAAATTTTAAAACAAAAATTTAGAAATGTATTATGTTAATAAGTCAATGTTATAAAAATTAAAACAGCATATCTGATGATAATATTACAATTTTGAAAATAATACAATTATATCCATTGTATTATGTAAAAAAATAATGTATAATCTAAAAAAAAAATTCTAAATGTAATCATCTACCATCTAAATAAAAATTCTATACCATCTACATAAGATGGTTCATTGTAGAAAAAACAATCATGTTAATCATATATTCAAAGAAAAAAAAACTGCTTTGCATTAATCAAGAAGAAATGAAAAATGCTAAAGATCTTTAGATATTTAAATTTCAAATAACTCTGTACAGTAAAATGTACGAGTTTCTAATCATGTTTCAAAAATTACTTCTCATTGTGTATTATATATTTTTTTATCATTATATTATTATTATTTTTTTTTTTTGATTTGATAAAATGTATTTATATATTTTATCTACATATATTTTGAGTAGTTATAATTATTACTTACTGCAGAACAAGTGACAATTCTATTAGTGTTTGGTGCCCAATCAATACTTGTTACCCGTAAATCATGTTGTGTTAGGACATCAATACATGACCATTTATCACTCTCCTGTTGATAGATATGAACTTCATTGCTATTTGGAGACAGAGCAAGTTCTGTAAAATATAAAAATAATATGAAAAAATATTTTTATAATGTGTTCAAAGAAACTATTTAATTAGCAACTTACGAGTTCTATTCTGATTCCAAGCATGACACGTTATCGGATCTACACCAAAACTATGTATCTCCATTTTTATTTTATAGCCAAAAATATCTTTATGCAACTGGAATTTCTATTCTGAAATAAATTATTATTATTATTATTATTATTAAACGAGATTAGAATTTACCTTCATATTATTTTAACAGATAACAGTATAAGAAATGCATAACATTTACAAAATAAATATTTTATATAAATAGTCTGCTTAAAAATAAAAATCATTTATTTATCTATACCATTTTAAAATATTATATAGATAATCCTAAAATTTTTATTTCTGAATTTTACTTGAATGTTCACCTATGAATTAAAGAATACATGCAAAGATGCCATCCTCAAAATACTATTTTTCAGAATATATAGATATCACGCAACAGCATTTTCAAACATTAAAAAATAAGTCAAATACAAAATACAATTTGTTCAAAGTTTAGACCATCTTTATCTTATCTAAATAGTAGTGATAAGCAAAGAACCAAATTTCATTATTTGCATCTCTATTTTTTTCTTTATCATNTAGTCCAGATAAGGAAAAATCCGGATAATCGAAAATCCGGATAATGGAGGTCCGGATAATGGAGGTTCTACTGTATATAATGTTTCTTTACATTGCCTATTTCATTGTGAGCATAAAAAACAGACAGACAATACTCTCTTCTGATCTACTCTGATTTACGCACAAAAATTACCACCATTCATCAATCACACACAAAACTAATCATTCACTGGTATCAACATTCCCCTAGTTTCTGGAGAAATCACTGCATTCACAGTGAAGTATGTGATAAATAATACTATCTTACTCTCTTTATATGCATAAAACTTTATGGAAACAAATGTATAAAAACATTAACTTAAGATATTTTTAATGCAATTGAAAATTTCATATATTGCAACTTCTAAAGATTCAAAATATTTGAAACACTTATATTCAGAACAAACTGTAAACACATCAAGTAAAGAAATATTTAAAAAATCAATTAGCCTATATCTAAAAAAAAAAAAAATGACATATCTAATGTTTCCTTATTTGATTTGTCTATATTTGCTCAGCTGTTGTCAAATGTCATATCAAACTCACAGAAGCACAGACGACAATTGATTCAATCAACAGTTCCAGAATTCAGATTTTATTTTCTAATCGAGATAAATGGCGATTTTTTCCAGCACACATTAAAATGTGATGAATTAATAATCAACCTAACCATCAGCCAATGATTTTCAAACATCAGTTTTTCAAAATAGAAAACACACAGGGTCTAGGCAGTTTTCTATTTTGAAAACTTCCCAGTTAACACAACTACAGCAGATAATTTGAAAGATACAAAAAATGAAGGATGCATGAATTATACACATTCATGTGCAACAACACGATACAAGCAGGGTTGTGAAGTCTTGTGTATTCAACAAGACTGTAGTAGAATTTCTACAAACAAGACTAAAATGTTCATTCTTATTTCGTAGAAACATTCATGTTAAAAGTGATTTGTCATTAAGAAAAATTAAGATCTAGAAATATTCTTCCAGACTAAATATTTACACATTAATTTATTCAGATGTAAATTAAATTGTAACAAACAACTGTGATCCAAATGAAATAAATGCAAAATTAAAGACTGAAATCAAAACTGTTTTAATGATTGAAGAGTTTTTATTGTTTTACTTTACTGCCTTATAACTTGAATGTGATTTTATTTGACAAAATCAAAAGTACCAACTTGAAGAATGAGAACTGAATTTGAAGGAGAATACTTTATTTCCTTTCTTCACTAAAGAATATATTTGAAAATCCAACAAAAATTTTGTGCCTCCATTTCTCTAACTACCTTCTATCAATCAGTTGAGAAGATTGCTAAGGAGTTCATAGATAAAGTTCAGAAACTGACAGAAAGAGATGTGTCTGGAGTAGTTCTAAACAAGGGAAGTTTTAACCTTCCTCTTTCTGAAAATATGACCATTTCCTGAAATATCTTTTAAGCTTATTAATTAAATTTATTATGAAGAAACTTTCTGGACGTTTATAGTCTATCATTAAAAGAAAAGGAAAAGACAAGGAACAAAATCTGAATTCTCAAATTCTGAAAATACATTCTGATAACATTGAGGACACGAGATTCCTGCTTATAAGCAGAGCCTCAATTTCACCAGAATATCTTAAAGGAATATTTACATTTAGCAATTAGTTTCTATAGTACAGATGGCTTCAATAAAACAGCACAGCAATCAGGTGAGAATTTGTATTTTCAAGAAATATGAAAATCAAAGTTATAACTTAAATGCAGTAATACAATCTTTTAGCTCAAAATTCATCATCATCATGAACTAAATATTTGAGATTCACATACAGCTCATGAGCAATGCTTTGTCTACAACTGTTATAGACTAATACCATATTTATTTAAATGTAAGAAATTAAAACTTAAAAAAAGTGCATTTCTGAAAATAAGGTGCAAATAAATCGCAAACATACATTTTCTTCCATACACAACAGACATCAGGTTCTACATAAAAAATACAGAATGAAACAACAAATTAAAAATTAGAACAGAACATTTTTTAAATCAAATATGTAGTAATCACATATGACAGGGTCCTCTATTCCATCTATAAGGAGATAGCCCAATGTGTAACATCAGGATTAATTTTAAATGAAGTTCAACTGTTTTCTCAATGATTAGAAATGAAAAGGATCCAAAGCCATGTACCAGGTATCTGTAGCATTCTCATTCAAGATAATACACTACACTAGTCATACAAATATATAGGCGCTACAGCTAGAAACCTCAACAGAAGGATTGAACACAAATACAGCCTCAAAAAATGCCTTTCCAACACAGCAATGGCTACCTATACTAGTAACTTTAAAAAAGCACACTAATATTACTTAAGGAATCATGATATATGCTGCCATATGAAATTAAGAATTATCAATACACAATATAATTTTTTTTCTCTCAGCACAATACACAAGTTTCAGCAATTTAGAAACATTGTCTAAAGAATCAATTCTAATACAGTAGACCCCCCTATAACACTGTAGATAATTCCGTGTTGTACTTAGTCACTTAGATTTTACAAATACGTGTGCCAGGCTGTGAATGGCTCGCGTATTTGTAAAATTTAAGTGACTCGTACAACATGGAATTCATATAACATGAAATTATCTACAGTGTTATAGGGGGGGTCTACTGTATTTCATCCATCATTCATGACGTGAGGTTATTATTGTTTCAATCTTTTTTTTCAGATTTTAAATACCATAATACTTGATTGAAAATCATTTGTTTGGCAACATATTATTTAGAATGTCAATGAAGAATGTTAGCAATGTACCTTGAAATTAAGTTTACTATGCCAAGGCTAGGCTACAAGTAGATTAAATTCAGCATTTACAAAACAAGCATAATACAAACTAAGGCAATAAACAATAGAATCTAAATGCAAAACAGTTGAGAACAGTGAAGAAAGCAATTATTATTAACAGTTAACCAAGGAAAAAAAAATCTTAAAATTATGAGTCTAGAACATTTAAAAATTGCACAGTTACTTCTGACTTTGCTACTTCATCAAAACAGGATCCTTATATATAAAAGCTGTAATAATGGCATCATCAGGACATTCAATGAAGACAAATCAAAATTTAACTCTTCACATTCACGTGAGGAAGACAGTCAGAAAATGAACAATCCATGACAATAGCAAACAAATTAGGAGCAAAGTAATCATATGAAAGAAAACTATGCAATGTTCAACATTTTCATATTGGAATCAGACTACAAAGAAGCAGTCAAACAAGCTGCAACTATTTGAAAAATAGGAAACAGAACTTCATTTGTCATGGATGCAGTGAAAATCATTTCATCCACCCTTGTTGAATCAAAAGTGAACACTAAAGTGATAATTCTATTAATATTAAAGTGCTAATTTCACTATTGTAAAAGAATTTTAATGTGGAAAGACAGTTTTGTTTATTTCATATACAGTAGATCCCCCTATAAGACGGTAGATACATTCTGTTCTTTATGAATCCGATTTTGTAGGAATCACAGCCTGACACGTGTGAAGTTTACGGACTACGGCTGTTTGAAAGGTTTTCTTCCATAAAATTAATAGATTCTAGACTAATCCAACTTAACATTTCCAAAATACGTACATTTTTTTTGGAAATAATCCGTATAAACTAGGCTATAAACAAAAAATTGTAGGATTACTTACCAAGTGTGCACCATTCGACATCGCCATTGCTCAAGCTTGTTTTCATCGCGGAACAACTCAGCAAACCGTGGCCGCGATTTCTGATGTTATTTTTCTGCAAAAACTTCGTTGAACTTTGGAGACATCATTAATATAAATAATTTTTATCACTGTTGAATAAGAAATGTTTCTTTCACAAGAAATGTATAAAATTACAGTACTGTATTAGACTTACAGTACCTAATTTACATACTGTACAGACGATAGTTCGCCTAAACTCTCCGTAGCGTGGCGCCAGGCGGTGGAAAG